GCAGATCGTAGAAGTGCTACGCTCGTACTGCTTCGCCAAGTTGATTACACGCGCACCTTGGTCATGTTTTTCGGTAATTTCTTTCTTTAATTCAATGCACATCATCCACTTCTTCTTCTTAGCACTGTCCTTCGCGCTTACTTTCTTCAGATCCATGGTTGAAAAAACGAAGTTTTGCAAAATAACTGCGAGCACAACACTGATGCTTCAACTAAGAGCTAACCATTTAAAGTGAATGAGTGAGACACATGATGCTGGGCTGATGTTGTGGCGTTCACTGTGACGTTCGCTGTGCCAACTAGCGGTGGGGTATCTGAAGCTGGCTCGTAATCCGAATTTTAGCTCGCAACTCAAAGCAAAAAATTGGCCGAGAGACAGCTCGTATCTCGAAAAACTCGTTAGTTGGGACACTCGTAAGTCAAGGCCCCACTGTGCAGGTCTTTTACCTCCTTAGTTAAGTTTATTCATAGGTATCTTCATTTTTGTTGTTGTTGCAATGGTAAATGGGATTTTTTAAAATCTCTCTTTCTGTAAGTTCATTATTGGTGTATAAAAAAGCCATTGATTTCTGAGTGTTAATTTTGTATCTTGCTACATTGCCAAATTCATAGGTCTAATAGTTTTTTTTATGGAGTCTTTAGGATTTTCTATGTACAATATCGTGTCATCTGTGAATAATGACAGTTTTACTTCTTTTCCAATTTGGATACCTTTTATTTCTTCTTCTTGTGTAATTGCTATGGCTAGCACTTCCAGTACTATGTTGAACAGGATTGGTGAAAGTGGGCATCCCTGTCTTGTTCCTGTTCTTAGGGGAAATGGTTTTAGTTTTTGCCATTGAGTATTATGTTGGCTGTAGTTGTGTCATATAAGGCTTTTATTATGTTGAGATATGATACCTATATTCCCACTTTGCTGAGGGTTTTTATCAAGAAAGGATGTTGGATTTTGTCAAATGCTTTTTCTGCATCAATTGCTATGACTATGTGATTCTTTTTTTTTTTTCAAGATGATTCATTGAAGATTTTTTAAAAATATTTTTATTGATTTCAGAGAAGAAGGAAGAGGGAGAGAGAGAAATATCCATGATGAGAGAGAATCATGGATCAGCTGCCTCCTGCAAGTCTCCCACTGGGGATCGAGCCCACAACCCAGGCATGTGCCCTTGACCGGAATCAAACCTGGGACCTTTCAGTTTGCAGGCCTGCGCTCTATCCACTGAGCCAAACTGGCTAGGGCATGATTCTTATCTGTTTGTTTATGTGATATACCATGTTTATTGAATTGTGGATATTGGACTGTCCTTGCACCCTGGAATAAATCCCACTTGGTCATACGTGTATGATCTTTCTAATGTAATGCTGGATCCAATTTGCTAGAATTTTGTTGAGGATTTTAGTATCTATATTCATCAGAAACATTGGCTTTTAATTCTCTTTCTTTGTAGTGTCTTTATGGTTTTGGGATTAGGATAATGTTGGCTTCATAGAAAGAGCTTGGAAGTGTTCCTTCCTCTTGAATTTTTTGGACTAGTCTGAGGAGGATAGGTTTTAGTTCTTTAAATGTTCAGTAAAACTCCGCTGTGAAGCTGTCTGGCCCAGGGCTTTTGTTTGCTGGAAGTTTTTTGATGACTGCTTCAATTTCCTCCATAGTTATCGGCCTATTCAGAGTTTTTGATTCTTCCTGATTGAGTTTTGGAAGGTTGTATTTTTCTAGGAATATGTCAATTTCTTCTAGGTTGACCAGTTTGTTGGAATAGAGTTGTTCATAGTATTTTTTTTTTACAATCCTTTGTATTTCTGAGGCTTCTGTTGTTATTTTGCCTCTTTCACTTCTGATTTTGTTTATTGGGGTCCTGTCTCTCTGCTTCTTGTTGAGCCTGGCTAGGGATTCATCAATATTGTTGATCCTTTCAAAGAACCAGCTCTTAGTTTTATTGATTTTTCGTACTGTTTATTTGGTCTCTATGTCATTTATTTCTGCTCTGATCTTTATTATTTCCTTCCTTCTGCTCACTCTGGGCATTTCTTGCTGCTCTCTTTCTAATTCTTTAAGTTGTAGAGTTAGGTAATTTATTACAAGTTTTTCTTATTTTTTGAGGTAGGCCTGTAGTGCTATGCACTTCCCTCTCAGGACTGCTTTCACTGTGTCCCATAGATTTTGGATTGTATTGTTTTCATTTCATTTGTTTCCAGGATGTTTCTGATTTCTTCTTTGATCTCTTTGGTAACCCAATCATTGTTTAATAGCATGCTATTTAGCCTCCAAGTATTTGAATTTTTTTTATTGGTTTTATTGTAGTTGATTTCTAATATAATGCCATTGTGATCTGAGAAGGTGCTTGATATTTCAATCTTCTTGAATTTAGAAAGACTTTGCCAGAATATACTTCTCAAGTGCACATGGGACATTTTCAGAGATTGGTCTATCAGAGATAGACTTTCAGAGATAGACCAATCTCTGAAAATGTCCCATGTGCACTTGAGAAGTATATTCTGTAGCTTGGGGGTAAAATGTTCTGAAGATGTCAATTAAGTCTATCTGATCTACTGAGTCATTTAGGATTGCTGTTTCTTTGCTGATTTTTTGTTTAGAGAAGTGGTTCTCAACCTTCCTAATGCTGTGACCCTTTAATACAGTTCCTCATGTTGTGGTGACCCCCAATTTCATTGTTACAAATTGAACATAATTAAAGCATAGTGATTAATCACAAAAACAATATGTAATTATATATGTGTTTTCCGATGGTTTAGGCGACCCCTGTGAAAGGGTCATTCGACCCCCAAAGGGGTCGTGACCCACAGGTTGAGAACCGCTGATCTAGAGGATTTATCCAGTAATGTCAATGGGGTATTAAAGTCCCCTACTATGATTGTATTGCTACCGATCTCTCCTTTGATATCTTCCAGAAGTTTTTTATAAAAAATTTATTATTATTTTTTAATGTATTTGGGTGCTCCTGCATTGGGAGCATATATATTTACCAGAGTTATATCCTCTTGTTGTATCAATCTCTTTAGTATTATGAAGTGGCCCTCCTTATCTCTTGTTATGGCCTTCACTTTGAGGTCTATTTTGTCGGATATAAGTACTGCTACCCCAGCTTTTTTATCATTTCCATTTGCCTGAAATATATTTTTCCATTCCTTTTACTTTCAGTCTGTGTGAGTCCCTTGTTCTGAGGTGAGTCTCTTGTAGACAGCATATGTATGGGTCATACTTCCTTATCCATTCAGCCACACGATATCTTTTGATTGGAACATTTATTCCATTTACGTTTAAGGTTATTATTGATAGGTCCTTATTTGTAGCCACTTTTATTCTTTGTGCCTGTGTTCCTTCTTGACTTTCTATTTCTTCTTTTTACAATAGTCCCTTTAGCATTTTTTGCATTGCTGGCTCAGTAGTCATAAACTTCCTTAGCGTTTTTCTGTCTGTGAAGCTCCTGATTTCCCCTTCAATTTTGAATGATAGCCTTGCTGGATAGAGTATTCTTGGGTTCAGCCCCTTTCTGTGCAATGCTTTGTATACTTCATTCCATTCCATTCTGACCTGATGTGTTTTTGTTGAAAAATCATTTGATAGTCTAATGGGAGTTCCTTTGTAACTTTCTGTCTCTCTCTTGCAGCCCCTAAGATTCTTTCTTTGTCATTAACGTTTGCCATTGTAATTACATTTCTTGGTGTGGATCTTTTGGGGTTCATCTTGTTTGGGACTCTCTGTGCTTGTGTGACGTTTTTCTTCCCCAAATCAGGAAAGTTTTCTTTCATTATTTCTTCAAATAGGTTTTCTAATCCTTGCTCCTCTTCTTGTCATCCTGGCACCCCTATCACACATATGTTACTTGTTTCATGTTGTCCCAAAAACTCCTTTAGACTCTCCTCCTGCTTTCTAATTTTTTTCTTCAATTGCTGTTCAGATTGGGCGTGTTTCTCTGCCCTATCTTCTAACTCACTAGTTTGGTCCTCCCCTTCCTCTAGTCTACTGTTGAAACCTTCCATCGTGTTTTTTTATTGTCGCTATATCACTCTTGATTTCCTCTTGATTCTTACATAAGTTGTTGATTTTCTCATCTGGTTTATGAACTGTATGACCATTACTCTGAATTCTTTTTCTGACATATTGCATGCCTCTATTTCATTTAGTTCCCTTTCTGGCAATTCCTCCTTTTCTTTCCTTTGGGGGTTATTCCCATTTTTGCTACCATCGGTCCAAGGCTTGCTGGCAGGATGCACAGGGCTGGGGCCAATGCTGTGGGCTTGGCAGACAGGGGGCACAGTTCGAAACTCACCGGCGGGTTGCACAATGCCCAGGAATGATGCAGTGGGCAGGCAGGAGGGAGGCGCACTCCGGGACCCACAGGAACCCATGTCCAGGGAGGCTGGAGTCCTGGTGTCCGTGGTTCTGCACATGAGGTAGCTGGTCTTTGGCCAGAGTGCCTGTAAGGTCAGGGATGGCATCTGAGGCCCGTCTGGGTGATGCTGAGGCGGGGCTCCTAGTCACAGCAGCTCTCCCCTTTAAGATGGCGTAGTTTCTGTCAGAGCTGGCCACCCCAGAAGTGATTTCAGTGGTAGCAGGGGCTGTCCATCTAGGAGAGTCCGGTCCACCAGCCCGTGAAAGTCCTGCAGGATCTAACTGTCCCTCCCTCATACACACACACACACACACACACACACACACACACCCCACACATCCACACACTCCCCTTTCGCTCCCTCAGTCACTCACACTCTCTCCCTCACTGCTGGCCACCACCTTCCTCCCCTTTATTTCTTGAGGACTTAGCTTTGCCCCCATTGATCAATATACTCCATAAGCCAATATTCTGGGATTAGCCACTTACCTCAACTGTGCTGTCATGAGAATAAAAAGGTATACTTGACACAGACTAAGTGTTCTATAAATACTATTGTCATTACTATCCATCCTTGTCTAGAACTTTACCAATACCATCTAGAGACAGGGACCTGCCTTACTGGCCCTTTCTTTTCTTTTGCTACTGTTTGAAAGTTCCAGGGTTTGGAAGGGACAGCTGGACCCTTCAAACATGGGGGAAACTCCTTTCAGCAATCCTCTCCCTGCACTATCAATGATCAGGGCACATACCAGCCCTTTCTAACACTAACAGACCTTGGTGTTGTGTTCCAGAACCACCCAGCCTGATAATAGAAAACTCTAGGAGTTTTCTTTGCCCTATTCCTAAGGACTCTTTAATTAAAAAGAAGGAAATTGGCAGTGACCTCAGGGTCCCCTGGCTCTGTTTCTTGCCTCAACAGTGTTTGGGCAGAAAAGAAACAGGGACACTCCTTCTTCTAGCCTCTGACCACCCACCAACCTCTTTTTCAGTTACCTCCTTCAGAACCATCTCAGCCATCCTCAGTCCCTGAGACCAGCCAACATCGTTTTTTTGAGCTTCTTATTGCCAAGCAGCCATGAGCTCCCAAATTTGTCAGAATTATTCCACCAGGGTGGAGGCTGCTTTCAATTGTCTGGTCAACCTGCATCTGCAAGCCTTCTACACCTACCTCTCTCTGAGCTTCTATTTCAGCCACCAAGATATGGCTCTGGAGGGCATGGGCCATTTCTTCTGTGAGTTGGCTGAGGAAAAGCACAAGGGTGCTGACTGTCTCTTAAAGATGCAAAACCAGCGTGGTGGCAAGGCCTTCTTCCAGAAGGTGCAGAAGCCTTCTCAAGATGAGTGGGGTAAAACTTAGGATGCCATGGAAGCTGCCATGTCCTTGGAGAAAAACCTGAACGAGGCCCTTTTGGATCTGCATACCCTGTGTTCTACCAGCACAGACCTTCATCTCTGTGACTTCCTGAAGAACCACTTCCTGGATGAGGAGGTGAAAATCATCCGGAAGATGGGTGACCACCTGACTAACCTCCATAGGCTGGCCAGCCCCAAGGCTGAGCAGGTTGAGCATCCTTTCAAATGGCTCACCCTCAAGGATGACTAGGAACCTTTAGAACCTAGAGGCCTTTGAGGACCCCTCTGCATCCCGATAGTGTCTGGCTTCTTGTTTGAACCTCTCCCTGAAACCATTAGGTATCCTTTTAACTCTCCCATGTTTTGAGCCAAATATTAATAAAGTTTTTTGCAGCAAAAAAAAAAAAAAGGAAACTAAGAGTTATTGACTGCCTATTATATCTCAAACACTGTTTCATTTATTAGTATTTCAAGAAAACCATAATACAAAAGGACAAATAGGCTCAGATAATGTAATTCCAATGTTGCAGACCTACTGAAGAACTTCATGCTGAGGCCAGTTCTTTGAAATAGATGGTGGTAGCATATTCTGGCCACCAGAGGGCAGAGGTAGACTACATAAAGGAGACAATTTAGCCAACTGAAGATACCTTAGGAGCAGTCACTTGTAATTTCTCTTAAAGTAGAGATTGAGAGGAAAAGTACTGCAAAAGGAAGACTGAGAACTGTCCTTATCCCTTTATCCACACTTCTACTTCTTCCAAAGAGGTGAGAGATGTAGAAAGGGGAGGACATCTGGGAAGAGGCTTCACTGCAGGTTTGGGGAGATGATGGGGGTGCAGATTATTGCTCACAAAGTGTTGCGCTCTAGTTAGGAATTCCACTCCCAATTCTCTTAATCAGTATAAGATGTTAGCTTCAATTGACTGATGAAAAAAATGTGACTCAAATTCACTTACCAAAATGCAGAGGTTGGGCAGTAGTAAAACATGAGTTAGATTTAGGAGTCACGTAACATGAAAACTGGAAGGGTCCTCAAACAGTCTAGTCCTCCTTTCCTCTTCATTGATGGAAAAATTAGTACCCAAAGTGTTGACCTACTCATCAGGATCACAAGCAAAAAGGAAAAGAATTGGGTTTCTTTATGCTTTATGGCTTTCTATAAGGACAGATCCTCTTGTTACAGTTGAGAAAAATTAATGACTGAATCACTCTCCAAAGGTAAAGAAATGGTATTTTAAAGCTCACTGGTGTACTTCTTAGTTAGAACCCCACCTTGCACTTAAATAATTTAGACACAGAATATTTAATTAGTATAACAATTTATTAGCAAATGACATAACACATATAGGATCTTATGTAGTAAACATCATGAACATATACTTCCAGAGAAAAAGGATCTGCTATTAACCAACTCCCCCTCTCCTACAATAGGCTGCAATCATCAATAACTCATTCTCATTCTATAGAGGTGGGGAACCTTTATTCTGCCAAGGGCCATTTGGATATTTATAACATCATTTGCAGGCCCTACAAAATTACCAACTTAAAAATTAGCCTGCCATATTTAATTAATTCACCCCTAATGTTTTGGCAGGGCCAGATCAAATGATTTCGCAGGCCTTATACGGACCTTGGGCCGGACACCCACCCCCCCACTGCCATAGAGGGTTAAACATGATTTATGTGTAACAGCATCAAGGCACTTGCTTTAATTAAAAAAAGATATATGTGGTATAAAACATATTCCTAAAAGTCATTAACCTTGAATAATTGAAAAAAAAAAAGGCAGTATACTTTTTTAGTGAAGTGACAAGACTCAGAATTTGAGTTAACTCATATATCACCCTGTTATTGTCTTAATTTGTGTATAAAATTGCAAGGAGACAAAAGGTAGCATTTTATAAAGATTGATCTGTTCACACTAATTTTTGAGAAATCATGGCAGCATCAGAATTCAAACAGTAATTTCCCAACTGATTTGAATGAAAAGATAACAGCTTTTTCACTCCAAGTATTATCTTACTATTTTAGGGATGGAGAATGTGGCAGTGGAAGAGAACTTCTTAAAATAAGTTTATTAAACCTGCAATTAAAAAATCTTTTCTGGCTTATGCTGCTTGTCTGTTTGACAACTAAAAAACCTTCAGTTAGAAATTTAGTCACTGGTATTTTGTAGTAAGATTGTGATTATATGGCCTTTTTCAGTCATAATTCAAGTCCAAAGAAAGGTTATATGCCTGGTTCCAGTGTAGACTTACAAACATACTATCTCCAGTAAAGGTATTTGGTGTCATTATTCCAGTTTTCATAATTCAATATATCCTTCCTATTTTACATCACTAAGAGGAAAAGAAAATACATACCAAACACCCTACAATCTAATATAATGCTTATTTAACATTTACTTTAAAATTTAAAGTGCAAAATACTTTTAAAAAAATAATCCTTGTCAGGATAAAAATTACCTTATAAAAATAAATCTCCACCACTCCCACATCCAAATTCTCCATTCCTAGTTACTAAAATATTTTTTTAAAAAAACTAAAATGTACCTTTAAATAGAATTTTACTTTAATAATAGGCTAGGATAACAAACCAGCTGGTATATTATTTTGGGCTGTTCCATTATAATTTTCATTCTTGTTATTAGCACTCAAATTAATGATTCCATTTATGATTATCTAAAATCTTTCTACCAGCGCTCTCCTCTTGGGAGCATGCCTGAGCCTTTTCCTTCCTCCCTCCCCCCACCAGGCAGTTACCTTTGCCTTTCTTTCTCCTGAGCTCCAAGGGCCCTTATTTTGCTTCTGCAACATGTTTCCTGAGCCCAGGTAGCCCCGCTGGCTCACTTCTATTACCTCTGTAACTTCCTAAATAAACTTAATCTGAAACAAACACACAAAAAATCTTTATTAAAAAAAAAAAGCCAAATTACTTCAGAGCCTATAAGCTTTCTAGATCCAATTTCCTCCTTTTGCAGTTTTTAAGCCCAGTTTCAAATAAGGCATCACTATAACAGATAAAGAAAACATTGGGGGAGAGAAACATCAAAGAACAGAAAAATTAAGCAAAGTCTAAATCCTATTGATTGAGTTTTTACTACGTCACTGTGGAATCATTCCCTGAATAGACGGAGGCATCCCTGCCTCCTTCTTTGCCTCAACTGCCTGCCTCCTGCTAAGACCTCTGTCCAGGCTCAGTTCAGCTCCTCCATAAAGCACCTCCAAGTGCCACTTGTGTCACTGAGTTACCACATGGTTCGCCTACTGGATTTAGTATCAGAGTCCCAGCACCCGGCACAGAACTCTAGAGTTCTGCATAGGTCTTCAGGAAGTGTTTGAGGAATTATCTACATTGATGCAAAAAGAACTTATAGTTCATCTATACCACTACAGAGAGGAAAACAATTCATTAAAAACTTTAATAAGGCTCACAGACCTGGAATTTATCATTATAATTCCTAGATTTAATTTTAAGTTCCCAAGAAATTCACTGCAGCCCTTTTCTAAGAGCAGAGCTAACACCCAAATTACTAAGAGAACACAATATACATTTAAAGACCACCATTTACCATACTGTAAATTTAGTGACAAATTTGGCTTCAATGTCTACTATTGTTTAAAAGCTAAGTCAGTCTACCTAAATCTTGTTTTCCTTTGGTCCTAATGAAAAATTTTTTAAAGTAACTGTCAACTAGACATCTGTCCATTTTACTGCCATCAGAGGCACGGATAGTACTATAGTCACTAGTGCTCCACAGTAGGTCAACCTGGGCTTTTGCCCCAACGCTGGCTAATGCATGCTTCTCAACTGTCTCATCTTTGGTGAATCTGTGCCCCTCTCCTTCTAGAAACAGAACCCAGTTTTGACCTTGCTCTCAAACTAAGGTGTGGCTTCTAATCCTGACCTCCCTACTGTTGTGTGGGGTTAACCAGGGATTGGATCCTATTCAACTGAATGCCTCTGTTTTCTCCCTTATTTAGTCAGCGGTGGTCTTTTCAATGATCTACTCCTTTCACCCCTCTCCTGAATGTCAATCCTTCGTCTCTCTGTGCATGGGTACCCTCCACTCCTCTTATTGTAGCAAATTTAAAAATAAATAAGGTTGTAAAGTTTTAACCATTAAGTATGTACACAATACATTTCAATTAAATGACCATTTTAAGATATTCAGAATTTTGTACGTTTGTCAATAAGCAATGAGAAAATGTTCATTTAGACACTGAAGTCTAGAGTAAGCAAGGTATTTTTGTATCAATAAAACTTGTAAAATATCGCATAGTGAACTGAAAATCCAAGGCTTTGAGCAAGAAAGCAAAGGAAATGAAAACATTGGTTTTGCTAGTGAATTAAGCTTTGGTTTCACGTTTGATTTCTTTAAATACCAGCAAAAAATTTTTAAGACATGTATGTATAAGCCAAACTCTACCCACGCAGAAAGGGTAAGGTATACATTCTTGAGAAATCTTAAATGTTTTTACAATTAGTTACCAAAAGTAGAATCTCGTTTGTCTGAGTGGAAGAGGTACAGTGGGGCCTTGACTTACGAGTTTAATTCGTTCCGTGACGGAGCTCATAACTCAAATTACTCCTATGTCAAATTACTGTGACGTTCACTGCGCCAACTAGCGGTGGGGTATCTGAAGTTGGCTTGTAACCTGAATTTTTTTGAGCTTGCAACTCAAAGCAAAAAATTGGCCGAGAGACGGCTCATATCTCAAAAAAACTCGTTAGTCGGGACACTCGTAAGTCAAGGCCCCACTGTACTAATCAGAGCACAATTCAAGACTTTGCTAAATGCACAAAGCTCCAGAATTGTTCATATCCACATATGAAGAGAAAGGTTAGGTAAAGGTCAAATTCTGTTACTCCATTTTGCTAAGGAGTTTTTCAAATTTTTTGGACTTTTTTTTTACTGTGCTAGTGTTTGCTAAATTATAGAGTCGTCTTAAACATGTACTCTACTCTGTCAGGCAGCATTAGACAGCTATAATGGTCTGGATTCAAACCTAGCTTTGGGGAGGAAGGCAAGAAAGATTAAAACAAATGATTAACCAACAGAAAAGAAGGCACAGACGCTTCCAAAGGAACATCAATAATTAATTTGTACATGTTTTAGTGAAAACAAAGCTAATGCTTACTGCATGCACTTCTATTTCAGAAAGACTATCAATCCCCAACTGACCCTTGCTAAAATGCCATGGGAAGCAAAGAAATCACTGCTAAGTAACAAATTCTTAAGGGAAACTGTCAATCATTCCTATTTGTAATCTGTCCTTAACAGTTTGCCTCGAGCTCATTTAAAATACTGTATAGAATTGCAGAGTCAGCATTCTGCCTTTTATCTGGCAAGCTTGTCACTGGTAATGAGACATAGCAGTTTAGGACAGATGCCATGGAAAATACACTAAATTACTGAAAGCTAAGGAATTATCTGCATTGGTGCAAAAAGAACCTATAGCTCATCTATAGCACTACATAAAGGAAAAAAATTCATTTAAAACATTAATAAGGATCACAAAAATTTCAAGTATGCAAGTTGCTATTGGCTAGACATTTTTCTTCTTTTCATCTACTTATCCAACTGATGACTAGAAAGACCCTGAATTTATCATTATAACTCCTGGACTCAATTTTTAAGTTGAGAAATAATCAGAAACAGAGACAGAGATCACAGAAAAGTCAGGGGGGGGATTCTCATTATTTTTGCTGATTATGAAGAGCTCTTTGCTTACCTACTTACCCTAAACAAAAAGGTATGACGAAAACAACTGATTTACAAAGAATGTTCTGTATAATGTGAAGTTAGCTGGTAGGATTTCACAAACATGCTCAACCATCAGTCGCCTGATGGGTCTGTGCCTATGGTTTCCTGCCTTTAGGAAAGGAATAGTACTTTCCTACTAAAAGTCAGAGATCTCACTGCCATCTGGGGAGCAGAAACTGGGTATGGAGAAGTATAAATAAGAAAAAAACTTGAATAGCTATTACCTTGTGCTCCAGAGGCCTCTTGATCTGTTGGTACAATACCAGACACAACAATTCTTTCCCTGCCTCCTTTCCACTCTCTCTCCAAAGAGCCATATCATATAGGCTAGAGCATATCTCATGTAAATGCCAACTCCACTCCTTTACCTCCTGGAGAAGGAAGAGTCCACATGCCTATCTCCTCAAAGAGGATGGTCATGCCTGGGCAGTGTGGCTCAGTTAGTTGAGTGTTGTTCCATGCACCAAGAAGTCACTGGTTCAATTCCTGGTCAGGGCACATGCCCAGGTTGCTGACTTGACCCCCAGTAGGGGGCGTGCCGAAGGCATCCGATCTGTTTTTCACGTTCAATGTTTCTATTTCTCTCTCCCTTTCCCTTCCTCTCTCTCTAAAAAAATCAATAAAACTATTTTTTTTTTAAAAAAAAGATGATCATTAAGTTTAAGGGCTACTTCACAGTTCAATTCAATAGACATGTAATTCCAAGAGCACTCCCTATTTGCAAGAAAGCTTAAAACCACAATGTTTTCTTCTTTCTGATTCTGCCCAAGTATTAGCTCTGCTGCACTATCTACGAAGCTCTGCTTTGTATCTACGAAGGCCATCAGCTTCGAAGGAAGAATAATGTCTAGCCAATAGTATAAAATTTCAAGTATGCAAGTTGCTATTGGCTAGACATTTTTCTTCTTTTCATCTATTTATCCAGCTGATCACTGGAAAGACTCAGACCATTGGGAAAACATATTCCTTTCTGATTTTGACATTCTTCTGCAAAAGCTATCGCTTCATGTACACTATAAAAGAAGCTTTCATCTTCCTTTTTGCAATACTCTCCCCGGACCAAGGAATCCTTCACAGAGGGATTGCATTGAGCCAGCAGAACTTGTATGCCAATGGCTTCATAATCTCTGCGAACTTCTTTCAGCGTATGGATCCCTGCTGTATCTAAAAATTGGATTGCACTGCAGTCAATCACTATGGTATGGAGTTCCAAGGGATCACAGGAAAGTTTCACTGAAACTTCATCCTGAATTCCACTGACAGTCACTGTTTCCTTTTTTATCTTTCTCTTTGCTGCCTTCTTCTGAGCTGCCTTTACTAAGATTGGGTTGAGAGTTTTTTTGTATAAAGCAGATTTAAAACATTCTTTGTTTATGTAGTAGAGAGGGGCTACAAAGCGGAAAATCTTGATGCCCGGGTTAACCTGAAGGTTTTTGTAAGCAGATGTGGATTCAAAAATTTCCGATTCTTCCACTAAGCCAAGCAATGAACTCTCCGGCTTCTGAGTACGGAGGATGACACAAAACATAGAAAAACAAACACCTATAAGCAGGCCTATTTCAGTACTTATCAGTGCAGTGGACAGCATAGTAACAAACCAGATAACTGTATCCATTCTGCTAACCCTCCACATCTTGGGCAGATCCTTAAATTTACATAAAGCTCCCCGGAGATTTACAATAGTGATCACACCAAGGACACTTTTCTGAAGGGAATAGAATAAAGGAGCTATTACCAGGAGAACCAACAAAAGAACCAGAGCTGTCACTACACTAGAAAGCTGAGTTTGGCAGCCTGTTGATTCTTTAACCAACGTCTTTGCAAGAGCTGCACTAGTAGTAAAACAGTGGAAGAAGGAAGGGATGATATTGCAAAAGCCAATGGCATACATTTCCTGGTTAGCTCTGACTGTATAGCCATGTTTCTTGGCAAACATCTCAGAAAGTGATACAGTGATAGCAAAACCAATGATAGACATAGCTATTGCATCTGTAGCCACATTAGGAATTAAGTTCCAGTCCGGTGCTTTGGGTGGCATAAACCCAGTGGGAATATGTCCAGCAACGCTGGTATTGTATTTCTCATTTAGTTTTCCAAAATGAGAGGCTAATGTCGCTGCCACAACAACAAGGAGTTCAGTAGGAATCGGTGCCTTAAGCTTGGACTTGAAGCGCTCATTGAGTTCTTTGGTTGGCAAAAGAACCAAAAGGCACAAAAGGCTGGTGATGAGATCACAGAGATTGGTCTTATGGATGTTTCTGAAGATATGTATCCAAGTAGTGATGAGTGAGCCCACGCCACCACTCCGAGGAAGGCTGAGCCCAAGGAGATACTTGGCCTGAGATGTAAGAACAGTGAAGGAGGCACCAGTGACAAATCCACTCAGCAAGGCATCTGAGAGGTAGACGGAAACAAAGCCCACTTGAAAGAAGCCCATCGCTACCTGGAAGGAAGGATATACAAGTGTTAAATATAAATGGAAAAGAGTCACTAAATCCTGTATTACCCTGGCATTTTTTTTGCATGGAGACATATCAGAGCATCACAGAATATCAGAGCTAGAGAAAAACACACTCATATGTCAATCCTCTCGTTTTAGAGACAGGGCTCATTTTACTGACACTCAGAGGACTAAGCACATTATCACTCATTAGCCTAGATGAGACAATAACTTAGGATTCCTACCTTCTTAAACTCCTAAAACAACTCTCTGTACACCACCTCTCCGCTTCATCCAAGCACCAAATAAAGCGAGCTACTCTTCCCCTTCCCTTATTGGTTCCAAATGCCTGTAATAGAGATGTAATGTTGGCACTGACTCCTGATGCCAGAAGGCAGGGGCATGATGACAATGGCAGATTAGTGGATTCTATAGGAGACCCAAGAAGAATTCCATTTCTAATCCTTTCTCCTGGTTGATAATATAATATAGTGTTCAACTTTTTCCTGTGCAACAATCCAAGAGAATTACTATCTTAACAATTCTATAGGAAAGAGCGGGTGGTCATCTATAGTTTGAAAAACCCCTGCACTCCTCCTCTCCTAATCCCCATTCTGTTACCATTCCTGCCTGCCTGTTAATGCTGACTCTGCCAATAACCAACCTGCATAATCTCAAGCAAAGCAATTTTTCTTAAGATATAAAATCAAGGAGTTGTATTAGGTGGTCTGAGGTCCCTTTCTGGTCTAAATTTTTACAGTCAAATAATTAAAATCTGGTTGATTGAAATTCATTGGTTAAGGGGCAGCCTAGAGTTGAGAAAAGAGAAGCAGCTTTATCTTTCTAGAGAGTCAAACCAGGGTTTGAATTTTGGCTTTACTCCTCACATATCTTGAGCATTCAATAAATAATAGTTTTAATTATTGTGATAGCTAAGATCCCTTTCAGATCTGAGATTTCATGCATAGTGATTTCTTTGGCCAGAAACCACCAATCTCATCCCATTGTTTCTTACCTGATAAACTCCAGCCATAAAGGTTACGGTGCTGCCCACTGTAATTGCGTAACAACTTCTGTCACATATCCTGTCTGATGTCTGGTTTAATGATATGCTCCCATTCGAAACCGTTCCTAATGACAGGGCAATATGGGCAGTGTCAAAGCCAGCTCTGTGTAGTTCTCGGTCAACTACCTCACCAATCATAAGGCACAGTATTCCAAAAATGCCCACAGAGATGTGACGGGAAGTCCCGAATAGAAAATAAATGATGCTTGCAAAAAAAGATGTGTACAGACCATAGATGGGTTCTTGGCCAGCTAAAAGGGAGTAAGCAATCGATTGGGGCACCAACAAGATGCCCACAATTAAGCCGGACATCACATCTCCTAAAATGTTTTTCTTCAGGTCATATTTTGGGAGCCACTGCAAAAAGGGAAGGAAACCAAAAATCGTATGTTTTGCTTTGCTTGGGCTGCACTGGCAACTCTTCTGTAGTTTTTTGATGATGAATTGCTTTAAGTTAGTATTTGATTTCTCTTGAGGCTCCATGTGGATCCTAGGATAATGTCTGCATTGATTTGTGGCTTCAAGTTGCTGGAAGTCAGTACTTGATTCCTTTTCAAGCTCCACATGGATCACAGATGGAGGACTGTATTGGTCTTTTCCTTCAAGTGAAAGGTCATGTTGCTCTGTATTTTCCGAAGACATTTCTGAAGACAGATGCTTTAGCCTCCTACCCCAGAGAAAATACCAGAGTTACTTCATTAAGTAATTCTCAATGCTCAACATTTTAACAGCCCTACTTGTCATTCATGAGAGTTAAAAGGAGTTCAGTTTTGAGGTTAGGTATCTTACAGTCACATTTAGTTGAGCCTCATTTGTCTTGATTAAAAAAAAAAAGAACCAGACCATAAACAGCCAAGTCAAAGCAAATAATTCACTGGATACAGGACTTACTGAGAGTAAAAATCATTTAAGGATTCTTTTCCATCCCTGCCTGGTTCCCCCTATAGTTTTTCCCTTCAGAAAAGGTATCAGGGTAGCCTATTTCCTCCTTTCTGTATGCTATCAATTATCTTTTCAGGTTTTTCACACCCAGATATACTGCAAATAGGATCTGGTCCCAAACCTTCATCCCTACCTGCAAGTCCCTAAAACAAGGAAGATGGTCTTGTTGTTTTTTTGGGGGGAGTGAGTGGGGGAAAGGAGGGCGGCTCTTTAAATAACTTCCTAATTGTTGAAAATAAACATAAGACACAGAACCTAGGCACAGAACCTAGAGACAGAAGAACTTCGCTGGAGAGAACATGGCAAAAGATCCTGGACAGAAACTGGAGACAGAACCTAGAGACAGAACCTAGCGAGAGAACATGGCAAAAGATCCTGGACAGAAACTGGCCACAGAACCTAGAGACAGAACCTAGCGAGAGAACCTGGCTGAAGAACCTAGAGACAGAACCTGGCTACAGAACCTGGATAGAACATGGCAAGAGAACCTGGTGACTGAACCTGGCTGGAGAACCTGGACAGAACCTGGCTGGAGAACCTAGTGAGGGAACATGGCTACAGAACCTAGCTGGAGAACCTGGAGAACCTGGATGGAGAAACTAGCAAGAGAACATGGACACAGAACCTGGCTGGAGATCCTAACCAGAACTTCACTGGAGATCCTGACCAGAACTTCGCTGGAGATCCTGAACAGAACTTGGCTGGAGATCCAGACCAGAACTTGGCTGGAGATCCAGACCAGAACTTGGCTGGAGATCCTGGCTAGAGATCCTGGCTAGGCTGCTGATCATCTGAACGCTGCCTCTGAGTCTTTCCCTCTTCGCCGACTCCGTCCACACCTTTGGGGACCCCTGGACCTGCTGGGGTTGGACCCCGGCAAAGATAGACATGCCAAGTAAAGTTAGGGTTATATCAGGAAGATACTTGGTTATCAGTCACATCTGGGAACAGGTCATTGGCTAGAATAGGCATGGCCACTGCGAGGGCATTAAATTTGGGATATTTACTAGGTGTACTGGTTAACAATGTGGATTTTTTTTCAATAGATGGAGTTACACATATGTTGATATATATGCGATTTGATATGTATGCTATTTTGTTGTATTGACAACAAGCTTCAAAACTTCATATGTCAAATTTGCTGAAGGTTTTAACATCATAGATATTTTTACACTTAAAAATGTTGGATTTCATGCCAAAAAAAGAGCATTTGTGGGAAGTTTTAATTCATTACTTTATTTTGAAGAAAAGTGCTGCTGAATACTTCAGGAAGCTTATAGTAAACATGCTCCATCTCAAGATACTTATGAACGCTGGTTTAAACACGTTAAAAGTGATGATTTTGATGTGAAAGACAAAGAACATCCAGGCCAACCGAAAAAGTTTGAAGACCAACAATTACAAGCATTATTGGATGAAGATGCGTGTCAAACTCGAAAACAACTTGCAGAAAGATTAAACGTTGCTCAGCAAACAATTTCTGGTCATTTACAAGCAATAGGAAAGATTTTAAAGGAATGAAAATGGATGCCACATAAACTGAACGAAAGACAAATGGAAAACCGAAAAGTCATCAGCAAAATGTTGCTTCAATGGCACGAAACTCTTTTTTGCATTGAATTGTGACTGGTGATGAAAAGTGGATTTATTTTGAGAATCCCAAATGCACAAAATCATGGGTTGATCCAGGTCAACCATCAACATTGACTGTAAGGCCAAATCGCTTCGGAAAGAAGACAATGCTCTGCGTTTGGTGAGATCAGAAAGGTGTGGTGTATTATGAGCTTCTAAAACCAGGTGAAACCATTAATACTGATTGCTACTAACAACAAATAATCAAATTGAACCACATTTTGATCGTGAAATGATCAGAATGGGCCAGAAGACACGGCAAAGTAGTTTTGCTTCATGATGATGCACCATCACACACTTTAAAACCAGTTAAAGACACATTAAAAGATCTTGCCTGGGAAGTATTAACCCACCCCCTTCACCAGACCTTGCTCCTTCAGATTATCACTTGTTCCGATCGATGGCACACGCACTTTCTGAGCAGCACTTCAAAACATACAAAGAAGTGGAAAATTGGGTCTCTGAATGGTTTGCCTCAAAACAAGAAAAGTTCTATTGGGACGGTATCCACAAATTACCTGAAATATGGGGGAAATGTGTAGCTAGAGATGGACATTACTTTGAATAAAACATTTTTGATGTTTCTCTTGAATAAAAAAAAAAACATAAAGAAGAAAAAGCAAGTGAAAGAGTAAAAATAAATGTGTTGTTTTTTTTTTAAAAGAAACTAGGGCAGAATGCATTTAGGTCTTTGAACAACACTCCTTTGCTTGGTAGGAAAGAAGATAGAGAAGCTGATACAAGATTATTAAAGCATATGAATGTCAAGAGCCTGGGTGGGCTGACTGGGCAAGTGTCCGATATATGCTCTGGAAAGTTTTGGTCTATTCTACTTTCTTTTAGTATAGAGTCATATCTGCCGTGTTCATGCAAATAAAGATTCACTTTACTGTTCTAAGTACACACACTGAAGGGAGATATAATGCTGCTCTGTACTTCTACTTGGAGGGTAACTAGGTAGTCCTGCATCTCTGGGTCCTAAACTACAGAACTAGTGCCATAAGACCTTCCACTAGTAACTATAGGAAAGCGAAGAAAATAAAATGAACCAAAAAGAAGGGGCAACTATAACAACAGAAAAATCTTGTAATAAGAGTAAACGAAGAGGAAAAAGCAAGAGGTTCTCAAAGTATTACACTGTTTACCAAATAATTCACAAATCAGTGTCTCTGTATTAGCTGCTTGCTTAACTTAGCATGGCCATCCACCTCTCTGCCTGTCAAGATCCTAATCATTGTTAAAACCCATTTAAAATTCAACCTCTTATACAAAGCACTGACCAATCTCTCCTGGCCCAAATGAATCATTATATCCTCTCTGTCCCAAAGCATTCTGCACTCCGTTATAGTACTAACTACACTCTTGTATTTGTTCAGTAGGATTCTCTCCAGCTCTGGGAGGAAAGGACATCTTGTTCATCATTGTAATAATCAATGAATGAAATATTGTAACTCTCAGAGAACAGGCTTACAAAATGTTTGAATGAATAAACAAATTTATGACTATAGCCAGAAAGAGATAAAATATACTAGATGGAGGACTCAGGAAGTTTTCTGTTTTGGAACTGACAGAAAAATAGGACCTTGTGAGGTTCTATAAACGTAATATTACCAAAATGTCATAATCCAGGACCCAAGACCCATTTAAGGACACAAGATACGTAAAACCACACACATTAATTTTGTTTAGGATGAAGGGTCATCCCACTAAACTAAAGTAAAATAATAGCTACTCTGATAGTTTTTAAAGTATATAAGGAAAAAAATAATAGATATAGATGGCTACATACCCTGAGCAAGTCAATCAGATTGGTGGATACACACAGGTCTTCATTCCTCAATGCAACCAATCTGTAACTCTCTTCTCACTTCCTACTTTCAGGCCACTCTCTAGTGCACTTATGTCCTGTCATTCTGTTTTGGACAACTCTTGGTGATTTGTGGGTCAAAAGTCTTTTCCAAACCTAAGATATGCAAAAGGGACATAAGAAAAACGTAACATATAACTATTTAGCACTTAAGTTTACGTGTCTCTCACACTAGAGTAACTAGAGCAGTGATGGCGAACCTATGACACACGTGTCAGAGGTGACACATGAACTCATTTTTTTGGTTGATTTTTCTTTGTTAAATGGCATTCAAATATATAAAATAAATATCAAAAATATAAGTCTTTGTTTTACTATGGTTGCAAATATCAAAAAATTTCTATATGTGACACGGTACCAGAGTTAAGTTAGGGTTTTTCAAAATGCTGACACGCTGAGCTCAAAAGGTTCGCCATCACTGAACTAGAGTATACACTCAAGGACAGACACCAAGTCATTCTCATTTCCACATAACCCAGCACTAACACGATGCCTCACACCTGATATGTATGGCTATGTATCTGTATATTGCTGAAGTTTTAGTGAAGTTTCAAGTAAATATAATGAAGACAAAAAATCTTCCTTATATTCTCTTATCACAAATTATTAGCACTGTTCATTTATGTGTGATGCAAAAAGAGCCACCATAGGGCTTATATCAGTACTACAAGCACTATGACATACTGATTCTAGTATAAAGCCCAATATAAGACAAAATAATAAAATACCCAAGAAGAAAATAACTTAATGTAAAATCATGATCAAATATATTAAACTAGAGGCCTGGTGCACGAATTCGTGCACCAGTGAGGTCCCTCAGTCTGACCTGCAGGGATCGGGCCGAAACCGGCTCTCTTAACATCCCCCGTGGGGTCCCAGATTGCGAGAGGGCACAGGCCAGGCTGAGGGACCCCATCAATGCACGACTGGGACAGGAAGAGACTACAGGAGGGCTCCAGGGTATGTTCAGGACATCTTTCCCAGTCCCAATTGGCTGGACCCCAGCAGCAAGCTAACCTACCGGTTGGAGCATCTGCCCCCTAATGGTCAGTGTGTGCCATAGCGACTGGTTGAAAGGTCGTAAGGCCAGACAATTAGCATATTAGGCTTTTATTATATAGAACCAGAGGCCAGGTGCACTGTGTGTGTGGGGGGGGGTGGTGGGAAGTCCCTCAGCTCGGCCAGTGCCCTCTAGCAGTCCAGGACATTCCCCGAGGCAGTCAGACATTCCCTGAGGGGTCCTTAGTGCTGCCGCAGAGGCAGGAGAGGCTCCCGCCACTGCCACTGTGCTTGTCAGCTGTGAGCCCGGTTTCTGGCTGAGTGGCGCTCCCCATGTGGGAGTGCACTGACCACCAGGGAGCAGCTCCTGCATTGAGCGTCTGCCAACTGGTGGTCAGTGCACATAATAGCGACTGGTCGTTCCACCGTTCAGTCGATGTGCATATTAGGGTTTTATTATAAAGGCTAGTTACATGCACAATAATTCCCTGCTTTCAAAAAGATTTCAAATACACCTCCCATTTGCCTCCTTAATAAATCTGAGAACAGTGTATGAATTCCTATCTCTAATATGAGCAAAGTCAAAGTTTAGTCACTTGCTCAACTGGTAGAACCAGATTCCCAAACCTCATCTTCCAATTTCCAAGCTTAACTCTCTAAAATACCACATGGCCCCATGGCAGGGGGTGGGTTATAAAGGGTCAATAGGAGAAAAAAGGGCACATACGGTGGCCAAGTTCTCAACTCATTTCTGGATTATGGTTAATTTTAATTGGTGAAGGGAGCACACTGCTTGACATAGGTTTGGTAAAAGGTTAAGAATAGTTACTTTGACCTTTCATATTACACACCTGCATTGGTAATATTTTCATTTTATTTTTCCATTAGGAACAATGTTGTAAAATTTACGTCTGTAGCTACATTTTGGTTAGAATAACTTGTATCCCAGGCAATAGTCAAACAAGGCAAGCAGGCTCTTGTTTCCACTTACTTTGGCTGCCCCTCTAACTGGAATGCTAGAATTTTTCTCAAATGCTGCCTTAATCAGTTCCTTGCTAGACACGATATATAAAATAGCACTACTGCTGCCACCACCACACTGCCCGCCTGGGCACATCCCTGCCTTCCACTCCTATCTCCTTTACTTTGCTCTATTTTTCTCCCTGACCCTCTCATCATTGCCTACCATGCATTTACTTTTTTTTCCTATCTTTCCCATGAGAGCAATAACCTGCTGTTTTATTAAATTCTTAGCAAATACTGTTGAATGAATAAATGAAAGAAATGTCTTGTAAAAAGGAGTTACCCCTCTCTGTCCACCCTCCACACACAATAACCAAGCTTGTGTCAAGACGTTATACAGTTTAGCAAGTATCTGCCTGGGGGGTTTATGCTCACTAAAAGTTATGTCAATAATCAAAAATCACCCCTAGCCCTAGCCAGTTTGGCTCAGTGGATAGAGTGTCGGTCTGTGGACTGAAGGGTCCCGGGTTCAATTTCGGTTGCAGGCACAAACCCAATAGGGAGTGTGCAGGAGGCAGCTGAATTGATGTTTCTCTCTCAACAATGTTTCTAACTCTCTGTCCCTCTCCCTCTGTAAAAAATCAATAAAATATAAAAAATATATTTTAAAAAAATCACCCCTAGTAAATCTCATCTAGATCTCTGCAAAGTCCTGTGTCATTTCCAGATCTTCCCCTAGGAGGCAGCAAATTATAGTACTGTACTTACTATATTAAACCAGAGATCTATTAAAATGCAGGTTCCCAGGCAAGTCCAGAGATGAGATCTAAGACTCTGCAGCCTGGATGATTCTGAGCCAGTGAGCTGAAGGCCAAACTTGGAGAAATACTGGGTATGATCTGGAGTCAGACAGATCCCAGCTATACTGTCTAACAGCAATATGGAACTGGGTGAAAAACTTTATTTTACTCAGCATCAATTTCTCACCTGTAAAATGGGGACAGCATCACTTACTTGCAGGCGTGTTAAAAAGCTAACACAAGTAATGTACCTAGCACAGTGCCTGACATATAGCATTTGCTCAATAAATGATAGCTACTAGTCTCTGACCCTTGAGAGTCATGAAGGGGCAAAAAAAAGGGCTCATTTCCAACAGGTTTAACTCTCCATTTCTTGACTCAATTATTTATTTATTTATTTATTTATTTATTATTTTTTTGTGTGTATGTTAATCCTCACCCAGGATATTTTCCCATTGATTTTTAGAGAGAGTGGGAGGGAAGGAGGGAGAGAGAGAGAAAAAACCATGGATGTGAGAGAGACACATCAATTAGTTGCCTCCCCTATGCCCCTGACCCTTCAGTCCACCCACCCCGCTCCATGAACTGAGCCAAACCAGCTAGGGCTCGACTCAATTTTCAAAAACAAGAACTTCTGCTTAACCCACTATTGGATAATCACATTAGTTCCAGATTTCACATACAGAGCCCTAGGGACAAAGGTGTGGGAGTGGCGGGGAGGGAGGGGAAGAGGAGAGGGGTGGTGGTAATAGAACAGGTACCAGAAAGGAGTTTAAGTCTTGAATGCTTCTAACTCTCCATAGTCCCCAATCCGTGCAAGGAAAGGGCCCCGTCTGCCGTTCTCTGAGTTGGGGAGTACAAGCCCTAGCTCTGCACAGGATCTGCTGTGTAATTCTAGGCAAGGCCCTGGTCCCCATCCATCCACGAGAGAATTTCAAGTGAGTCTATGAATCTCCAAGAAGCCCATTCAGGTCCTGATTTATACTTAACCAGGTGTGTGATTTTAAAGACCAAGATAATCAAGTCCTCTCTGGTGTCCAGGTCTCAGTCGCCCGTTTGTGGGGGAGGAGAAAGAGGGTTAGTGGTGGCAGCTCATTCTCCTGGGTTCTGCTCCCGGAAATCTGGGTTCGACGTGGCTTGACGAGGACCCGACCGAAGCGCAACTCTTTTATCTGTGACTGCGACGTGCTTGGGGCACTCGGTGCGACGCGTGGGCTGGAGGGAGGAGCCAAGCACTCAGCCGGAGGCGCCGGCCGGCGGGGGAGCGGGGCTTTGACACTTGCCCTGCCCCGCCTCTGCCCACCCACGGAACAACCCCGACCGCGGGCTGCCCGCGACGCCCACGGCGACAGCTGGTCCGGGCCTCCTCCCAGCACGCCTGGGGCCCAGGCCGGGACCACCCTAAGGGCAGCCGGCTGGCCGCGTGGAGGCCGGCATCGCTCCCCGGCCCCCCGCCCTGCTCGCGTCCCCTCCCCTCTTCTCACCTCTCAGGTCCGGGCCGCCCCGCGCGATGAGGCCCCGCGCAGCGTCCTCCGCGGTGCGGAGCCGAGGGCACACGACCGCGCGGGCAGTGGCTGCCGGCCCGGAGCCAGCCTCCCTTTTACCGGCTCGTCCCCTTCCCCGCCCATCTTCCGGGCCCGAGGAGGCGGGGCCCGGCCGGCCGGGGGCCGGGACCCGGGGGCGCGGAGACCTGGTAGCCGCCGAGGGGTGCGGAGAGCTAATCCTGAGCGAACGCCCAGGCCGTAGCAGTCACGTGGCACCGCTGGCAGGAGACGCGGCCGCCGGCCAATGACCGGGCCGGGCTGGAGGGGGTGCCGCCCCCCCGCCGCTCTCCTCCTCGCGATTGGCTGTCCTGGCTGGAAGGCCACGCGTCCCGGATTCTGGGGCGGTCCCTGCTGCTTCCCGCGGTGGTGAGTCCGTAAGTGGGTGTTCCCGGCGTCTCCACCTTAACCCGGGGGTGTGGCGGGGAGAACTGTCCCGAACGGCGCGGGAGCGCGCTGCCCGGAGCCGGAAAGTGCTCCGCGTTTGCGGGTCTCTGACGCCGTGGGACCCGGTTCCTTCCCAAACCCCTTTACAGACGGGGAAATGGAGGCCCTGAATGGGAAAGGCCGCCTAGAAAGTTAGATTTTCCTACCCGAATGTAACTTATTCTCCATCCAAGGGCCCAAGAGCCAGAGGCTCTTTTTAAAATGGAAAAAAAAAAAAAGGTAAAATAAATATAAAATGTCATTCCAATTCCCTTTTAAAGCCCTCAGTGGCTTTCCTTGACATTTACAGATAAACTAAAATCGTCCCTGTTATCTTTTTTTTTTTTTTTTTAAATATATTTTATTGGTTTTTCACAGAGAGGAAGGGAGAGAGATAGAGAGAGTTAGAAACATCGATGAGAGAGAAACATCGATCAGCTGCCTCCTGCACATCCCCCACCGGGGATGTGCCCGCAACCCAGGTACATGCCCTTGACCGGAATCGAACCCGGGACCTCCCAGTCCGCAGGCTGACGCTCTATCCACTGAGCCAAACCGGTTTCGGCGTCCCTGTTATCTTTAAGGTACTGGATGTCCTCTGGCTCCGCCCCCCCCGCCCCCCCCCCCTCCGGACCTCTGCGGGGGCCTGTGAGCTTTGGGTACCTGGTTTCTTCCTGGGTCTCAGGTCTCAGCCTAAGGCCTCCCCCCTCAGCGACACATTCTCTGCCAGTCACATCCTATTATGCCCTCTTGATTTAATCTTGTTTTAATCAGCCGGAACTGTCCACTCTCTGACTAATATATATATATATGTATATTATCTATATTCAATATATATATTCTATATAGAGAGAGAATGAATATATATATATATATTCATTCAAATTCAAAGGCCAAAGTTTATTGTTAGTTTTATGGGTTTTGTTTGTTTGTTTGTTTTTAGCTTTTCATGAATAGACAGCTATGACTGGAACCTAACAGTAATTCCAGGCAGATTTGACAATTTACCAGCAGAATGACTTGGATGCTTTTGAAAACATAGCTAAGAGCAGACATCTCAACGAGCGTCGTCATTAGTCAACTGTTCAGCCTGACAGTCTTTTTCACTGTTGACCCAAGAGTGCACTGGAGTGTGTTTTCAAGTTTTCTTTGAAGAATCTTTATATTTTCCCCGGTGTACCTGCTTTTAATTTAAACATAGATATGGCATTCTAAATTTAGGGCCCAAAACATGACTTTTATTTGATTTTGATGTTGAGTATATATATTAAGTTATTCATTCTTGTTTATAGCCTATGGAAGCCCACTGGGTGGTAAAAGAAGAAGACTTGTGAAGGAAGCAAAATGGTTAACTTCCTTTCCTTCCCTTTCCAGTGAACCTCGTCACAGTCATTTAAGGAACTCCCTTTCTTATCTAGAGATGATCCTCAAGTTTCTGTCACCCACCAGATACAGAGCTTCCAGAGCCAGAAGCCATATCAGGAAACCGAACACCCGGGTTCACTCCTGACTCTACCGCTTATGACTGGAGACAAATCACTTCTTTTCAATGGACATCAGTGTTCTCACCTTTTATAGAGCCTGCCTCCAGAGTCTTGAGGGTCAAGTAAGACAAGATGGAAAGTACTGTGTCCACACCTATAAGCTGCAAGATAAGCAGAATGGCAACAGCTGCCAGTTTCTGGATATTTACTTATGGATGCACAAACTCTTCACATTCACTATCTTATTTAATCCTCACAGCAGCTTTTTGACAAAAGGAGGTGTTGTATTATGATCTTCCTTATAGGTGAGGAAATGAGACTCAGAGATGTTAGGTGACTTGCCCTAGTTCCCACAGTTAATAAGTGACAATAGCATGATTTTAACCTATTTACATCTGACTGCAAAGCCCACTCTTACCCACTACACTCACGGTGTTATTCAAATGGAAGAATCCACCCCCATGTTTGCCTGGAATAGACACCGATAAAGACTGGCTCAATTTAATAATGGTTATTTTCTTTCTCTTATTTCAGATGATTTAATCTATATTACAGATGAGGAAACTGAGGCTCTGAATATTAAATTACTTAATAAGGTCATGCAATGGATAAGTAGTGATTTTGAGGTGGCCTTTAGAACTGGGCGCTGTCAATGACCCAATGCCAGGATGGTTCCAGAGAGGAAGCTTTGGGTCAGCCTATCTCCCTTCCAGTCAGCCACCCAGGCTGCTATTTAGTGCCATGCTCCCCTCCCCCCCATCTCCCCATGTACACATCCCTGGGACTCCATGGAACTGAACTGTGGCCTGCCACTCCTACTTTACCTTGATCAAAGCCCCAGCTCTCTGCAGTGGGAATCTAAGGTGAAACAGAAAACCAAATCCCTGCTAATGGAGAGCTGGCTAGTAATCTGCTTTTCCTTGATAACAGCAGGTCAGCACCCCAGCCAACCAGAACCCAGGTCTCTTTATCCCTCCCATCTAAGCCTGAGTATTTTTCCTCCTGTTCACAGGGGTGACTGGCAGCCGGAGGCTCACATTTTATAGCCATTACTCTGTCCCAAACTGCTTTCTAATGAGAAACTAATGGTGTGGTAAGTGGGGGGTGTTTGGGCCAGCAAATAAGTCATTTCAGGACAGAGGCCACTTCAGGATTCCCAAGGACAGTCACTTCCTCTGAGGCCCCAAAATAGTGGGCCCCAAACTGACTCCCATGATTGAATGGGTTATTCCTAATTTGCTATTCTGATTCATTCTCACTGCTCTACGTGCTTTCCTTAAACACGCACACACACACACACACACACACACACACACACTTATTGTTCTTGGAAACAGGTAACACGTGCAAGCAGATGAAACAAATTTAAAAAATCAGTGTTTACAGTGAAAAGTAAATCTCCCTCCAACACTTCCCATTCTTACCCCAGTGTCCCTTTCTGCCCAGTGTCCCTTTCCGGAGGCAAACACAGCATCAGTTTCCTATGGTGCCTTCCAGGTTATTCTATATCAGAATTCTCAATTCTGGCTGCACATCAGAATCTCTTGGAGACTTTTTTAAAAATTTTTAATTGATTTTTAGAGAGAGAGAAAGGGAGAGGGAGAGAGAAACATCCATTGGCTGTCTCCTGCATGCCCCCCTACTGGGGATCAAGTCTGAGACCCGGCATATGCCCTGTCAAATAATCTAACCTGGCAACCTTTTGGGGCATGGGATGACACTCAACCAACTGAGCAATACGGGCCAGGGCTCTTGGAGACCTTTTAAAAGATAACAATGTTTGGGTCCCATCCCCAGATATTATGATTGAATTGGTGTAGAGTGGGGTCAAGCATTGGTAATATTTTTAAGTCCCCCTGCTCCCAGGAGATTCTAATGAACACCCACAGTTGGCAAACCAGCGATCTATGCATATACAAGAATACACACACACACACACACACACACACACACACACACACACACACACAAAGGGGACATTCAATATACACTATCCTACAATTTTAAAAATTTAATATTATACCTTGATGATGTTCCATGTCAGAGCATACAGAATTGCTTTCTGGCTATCTATTGCTGAGTAACAAATCACTCCAAAACTTAGTGGCTTTTAACAACAATAAGCATTCTGTTATTTATCGTGGTTTCTGTGGGTCAGGAATTTGGTAAAAGCTTGATTGGTGGTGTCGCATAGAGCTATAGTGAGAGAGTGGCTAGAATTGGGACAGAGAATGAGGGATGAAGCAGCTGAAGGCTGTCTGGACATCTCTCGGCAGGTAGTCTTAGGGCTTCTCTTTGTGTCTCTCTGTGTGGGCTAGTTTGAGCTTCCTCACACCATGGAAATTTCAGGGCAGTCTGTGCTTAAATGACAGCTAAAGGCCTCAAGAGCCAACATTCCAGCAAGCAAAGAGGATGCTGCATAGCCTCTTACGATCTAGTCTCAGACGTCACATAGCCTCACTTCTATTGCACATTGTTGGTTGAAAGTTGTAAAAGCCCACCTGATTTCAGGGGAGGGCAATAGACCCCAAGTCTCAATGGGAGAAGTGTCAAAGCCACATTGTAAGAAGAACATGTGGTATGGGAAATATTGCTGTAGTCATCTTTGGCCACAGTAGCTGCATGGTATTCCATTGTTTGGGTGTACTGTCATTGATTTGGGACATTCATGTTGTTTTCTTTTCTATAAATATATTACAAATAGTACTTTGAATGATTATGGGTATTTTTCCTCTGCCACCTCGGTCCCAATCCCCAGAGGGGGCTTGGCCCTTCTAGATCTCTTGCCTCTCAGGGCCACTGTGTGGCAGGGCAGGAAGCAACCACTCTCAGGCTCAAAAAGAGATCCCCTCCTGCTTTGGACCTTTGAGGGAAGTTAGGCTGATTGTCCTGGAGGGGGAAAGGCAGGAGAGCCATGTAATCAGGGGAAAGGAGGTTTTTGAAAGCCTCCCCAAGATTGAGATGGGGCCTAGGTTTTTCAGGGTCTTTGAGTGGCAAGGATCTGTGCCTCTCCCTGACATGGGAAGCTGGAGCCATAACAATCAACCCCTGAGCCCAGTGAGGAGCAGAACTGTTGGCCTGCCAGGGTCCATACCAGCTTGGACAAGGGGCACATTCGTGGTAGCAGGGTGGACTGAAGGCCAGAGGGCTTTTTCCTGGTTGGACTGAGTTAGACCAACAGCCCTTCACATGACCCTGGGGTGAGGCAGCGGTCACCATAATTATCAGGATTGAATATTCTGCTAGAATTGTGGGCGTTTGGAACATACAACATTTGATTT